GATGGTGTGAGGACCTCGGCACAGGACTTCAGGAGGAATCCTGGGACACCGTCGCTGCCCGTTGCTTTCGCAGGGTTGACTTGACTTAGTAGACGGACTTTCAACTGTTGGACATAACGCGCAAGACACAGTACAGAAAAATGAGAGTCATCATACACACCAAGACAGTCAGGACGAGATGACAAGTGTAGATACACAGCTGACGTCTTACGATCAACACATTCATCCGCCTCATCTCGCTCCTTCCCACCCGACTCCTCCTCGTCCATCTCATCGTCCTCAGCCTCCTCGTTCCGCTCGTCATCCTCACGATCATCATCACCACCATCATCTGCCTCGTCCTCTGTCTCCTCACCAACCGTTTCGTCATCCAATTCCTCTTCCATCCTTTGATCATCCGTCTCATCCTCCGTTTCAGTACAGACCACTTGTCTCCCATTTGCTAGCTGCTCGTCCCGTGAGCGGAGTTGTTCCTCCAGATCCGCTTCACTCACTGGCTCATGATACTGCTCGACCCTCCTCCTGTTGGTACTGTCCACAACGCGCGGTCCTTGGCCGTTTCTGGCATAGATCTCTGTGGAGTAGTTTGCTGTTGCCCTCCGAGGTCTCTGGATTAATGTGGGCGGCGTGGCAATTCGTGTGAGAGTTGGTGATGCCAGCGCGAGTGTAGGTGGGTCCACCCCAGCCCCCGCCACAAGAAGAGCCGGTGGCGGTTCTGGTGGTGGCAAGGGCGACGGTGGTGCTGCTGGAGTTGGCAACTTGGGCAGCCTAGCTCTCCCACACGGCACCGCATTTTGTGTTGGCTCAGTCTGTACCACTGGCACAGGGGGTGGGTTCTTGCGCGGTCGTCCACGCTTCGGCCGCTTGGATTTAGCTGCATCCGGTAGAATATGCAGCGGTACATGCTGTTTGATACGTGCGGTCAGGTGTTGAAGGGTCCTACCAACGTACCGGCTACCACAATTCCGGCACTCAAATTGGTAAACCAAATGGCTCAAAAGATGGGATGGTAGGACGTCCTTTCTCACCATGAACGCACGTATCGTCGTGAATACAGGAATGAAATGTGCTGCGAAGTATGTTTTCATTACTAGCGGCTTGACTGCGCGGCACATGGTCAGCGATGTGTTTCCTTTCCAAGGCAAACAAAGATAAATTGGGCATCGAGCAGGACCAACACTCACTTCTTTCGATTTGTCTGCTGTTTTCATTAGTTTATTGAGTACATCTTCAGGGTGTCCGTTCTTTAGAAACACAGACTTTAAGTATTGTAACTCCTCGCTGAGTTTACTTGGCGAGCAAATGCGCCGTGCCCTGTCAACTAAGTTCCGCACCAAATTCACTTTGTACTGGTAGGAGCAGTACGAATCATACACAATATACTGCCCGGTGAACGTGGGCTTTCTGTATACGGAGGTAATGATATCATCATTCTATTTCTCAACCAATACGTCAAGAAACGAGAGTTTATTGTCGTGCTCATGCTCGTATGTGTATTTTAGAGACGGATGTAAGCTATTCAGATGATGAAGGAAGTGGTCGCACTGCTCCGTGGAATCAAAATACGTAAACGAGTCGTCAACGAACCGGACATACAGCGCTCAGCTTTCTATTTACAGTACTTAACTTCAGTTTCTTTGGTTGTATCGTTAGTTCCGTTTTTCCCACTGATGATAGGAACGAGAAAATCGATTCTGGGTTTTCAATAATATTTTTGTTATAAAATACACAGTAATACATGTCAAACAAGTAACGTAGTTGCGTGATGTCTGCGGCCTTCATCCTATTCATAGCTATATTAAAATTATTATCTCCACGTAGGTTATCTGTTCAAATATGTTGATCTTTAGCAGGCATGGGCAACTTGGTATGGTATGGGGATGCTCATGCATTTGCTGCACTTGTGGCCACTTGCAAGTACGAAACATTTTCCGAACCTTGAAGCTCCATAAATACTTGTACGGTACTTGTTCATGATTGTACAACAAAGTGAATACGTATCCCCGAATCCCAAAGCATAATAGTATGAGGATTTTGTGAGCATAATGCGAGCATCCATCAAGCATAATACATGTACTGTACAGTACAGTACAGTACAGTACAGTACAGTACAGTACAGTACAGTACAGTACAGTACAGTACAGTACAGTACAGTACAGTACAGTACAGTACAGTACAGTACAGTACAGTACAGTACAGTACAGTACAGTACAGTACAGTACAGTACAGTACAGTATAGCACAGTACTGTACTGTACAGTACTGTACTGTACATGTAGCATGATTTCGTGAGTACAATCCACGGGAGACTTGTAATATTGTCGGCCAAGAGCGCAATGTGGAGAGGTGGAGTGTTTCAAAAAAAAATTAAATGGCCATGTTCGTAGCGGCTTCTACTTTATTGAACGTTTCCAGTACTCAATAGTATTAATATTAATGCAGACTAAAAGTACGAGTACTGTACCTTCAGTGTAGGTCGAGCCACTGGGTGAGCTTTCCACGGAGCACCAATGATTATGTGGTATGGGAGCACAATCATGTACATGACATTGTACATGTACAGTCATGTACATGTACATGTACATGTAAATGTACATTGTACATGTACATGTACATGTACATGTACATGTACATGATTGTACATGTACATGACTTGTACAATGTCATGTACATGTACATGTAAGTAGAAAGTATTATGGGCATACCAACTCACTGACGTCATCGATGACGTCATAGCGATTTAACCCTAAAAACCGGGGCGTTTTAACCCTAAATTTTTGCGATTTACGGTAAATTTTTGCGATTTAACCTAAAATCGGAGCGTTTTACACATGACGTCATCGATGACGTAATGCGATTTAACCCTAAAAACCGGGGCGTTTTAACCCTAAATTTTGCGATTTAACCCTAAATCTGCACGTTTTAACCCTAAAAATCGGGGCATATTAACCCTAATAATCCCGGTAACCCTAACCCTATCACCATGACGATAACCCTAACCCTAGGGCTATCACCATGGCGATAACCCTAATATTCCTGACGATGATAACCCTAACCCTATCACCATGACGATAACCCTAACCCTAGGGCTATCACCATGACGATAACCCTAATATTCCTGATAACCCTAACCCTATCACCCTGATGATAACCCTAACTCTAGGGCTATCACCATGACGATAGCCCTAATATTCCTGATAACCCTAACCCTAACCCTATCAACATGACGATAACCCTAACCCTAGGGCTATCACCATGGCGATAACCCTAATATTTCTGATAACCCTAACACCATGACCCTAACCCTAGGGCTATCACCATTATTATTATTATTTAAATTTTGAACACCATGGCAATAACCCTAATATTTCTGATAAGACCATGACCATAACCCTATAACCCTAACCCTATCACCATGACGATAACCCTAATATTCATGATTATGATAACCCTAACCCTATCACCATGACGATAACCCTAACCCTAGGGCTATCACCATGGCGATAACCCTAATAATTCTGATAACACCATAACCCTAGGGCTATCACCATCGCAATAACCCTAATAACCCCATCACCATGACGATAGCCCTAATATTCCTGATAACCCGATCACCATGAAGATAACCCTAATATTTCTGGTGACTATAAACCCGACAATAACCCTAATATTTCGAGAGACGATAACCCTAGTAGCCCTCGTAACCCTATCACCATAACAATCCTATTGCCATGTCAACCCTACTCTTTTTATGTCTGCAGGTACTACAGATCACAACGACAACAACAACAACACTCAGCAAACCCTAATAATCATCTTATGTGTGTACAAGTCCTATATGCCCTATTAGCAAATCTTGTTGTTACGTACACAGATCCTATTGTTATTCATCTTATGTGTGTACAGGTCCTATATACCCTATTAGCAAATCTTGTTGTTATGTATACAGATCCTATCGTTATGCTAACACAATCACCATCGCAACCCCCATCAACACTTTGATGACGACCGTAATCACCCAATCACCATCACATACGGGTCTACAGGTACTGGAGAGTTGTGGAAAAACATCCTCCCCCCGATTTACCTAACAGCAAGACTTAGTAAACTATTTTACTTACCTTGCACGAATTCATACAACAATTCAATCGGGGGGAGGATCATGCTCATCACCAGGTAAGATGCACATGTGCATTCACACGCGCAGATGTATGACGATAGTGTTGTAGCTGCAAACGACGAAAAATTACGAACAAATAAATCAAACGCTGCAAAATTACGAAAAAATAAATATGTCTATATATGGAATCAGACTACGAGCAAGAATTGTGTACGATCCTAATCGGATAGACATGCAATGGCCGACGATCACATACCTTGTACGAAGCAATGCTGCAAGGAGATGAAGAGGGATGTCCGTCTCTTGGCCGACTAAACGACTAAGCGAAAATAACTCCAGGACTACATGAAAAAAGGAACACTGTCACTACGAAATGATTTGAGGAAATGAAGATTGCTTCCATATACGTGCACACCACTTGCTCCGACGAGTTTGAAATTTTCAAGTTCGTACGCATCAAACCACAAAGCCAGGCAAAACAGGAGTCGCGTACCGGATACGCATCAAAAGCTCGCCCGAGCCCTCGCGTACGCGGGTCAAAAGGTTAAGAGGAGTGCGTCGTACGCGCGCACGCGCTGTCTGCATCAGGGAGTAGTAAAATACTATACCTTTACTACTCTCCGGTCTGCAGCAATCAGAGAGAGTAGCAAAATGCCGATAGTTTCCTACTCACTCCTACTCTACTCCTACTCCTCGCGATGCTCAGAGTACGCGCAGCGTACTCGGATCAACTAGAACCGACGACAAGTTTGAACGGGTTCAAACAGAACGCGGGCGAAGGACTCTAGATGCTTTTCCTTTTACTTGCTCATAATTTATTTTCCTTCGATGAAGAAAGGTGAAAGTAAGTTTGTTTAGTTGAAAGTACATTTAGCTACAAGATGTCCCAACCAAGTCGAGTGATGCGAGTGTTCGAGTTCGAGCTCGAGCATAATGCGAGAATGCTCAGGAACTACGTCTGCAATCTTGGTGCTGGAGAGTACCAGGATGCTAGCGTTTTGTTGCAGCTGATGGACAGGAGCCTCAGTGAGCTGCTTCGCGATGACGTCCTCGAGTTTGGGAGATACAAAGTAGCTATTGTCCTTCAACTGCGTTTGTTGAAGCAGGATGGTGTCACCGGTGACAAGGTGTTCATCAGCTTCTTCGTGCGCACGCGAACCACCATCATCCTGAATGATGATGATGTTCGTTACAAATTGGATAGTGCTGCAGCAGAGATCGATGCTCAAATCGATGAGTTTGTCCGGAATGGATCGGGGTGGATCGTGGATCACGTCGAAGCCGTATATCTGGAATTGTCGAAATTTGAGCCGATGGGAGGTGGAACGTTCATCCATCTCCCCCAGCACATCAAGGCTAAGACAGCCTGCCTCAACGTCATCAACAACGACGATCGGTGTTTGCAGTGGGCTCTGCTGGCCGCAAAACATCACGAGGATGTTGGTCCAAACAACACTCGAGTATCGAAGTACGTTCCATACGTCGACGAGCTGAACTTTGCCGGTGTAGAGTTTCCAGCTAGTATGTGTGCCATCACGACGTTGGAGCAGAACAATGTCGATCTCGCCGTCAACGTTTTCGGCATATCGGATGATGGGAAGACTGTCGTTCCGCTTCGTCTGACCAGAAAAGGCGATCCTCAGGAAGCCATCAATCTGCTCCTGTTTTCTGGTCAAACTGAGGACGAACGTAACGTGCAGCACTGGGTGTTCATCAAGAACATGAGTCGTCTGGTACACAACAAAAGTCATCATTCACGGAAGGTGTGCTACCGGTGTCTGAACGTGTTGAGTACTCAGACGGCTCTGGAGAGTCACCAGCTGCATTGTAAAGACCATCTCATCGCGCGGGCGGTGATGCCGCAGAAGGGTGAAAAGCTGCGTTTCACGCAGTACGAGAAGCAGCTTCGTGCACCGTATGTGATTTATGCTGATTTCGAGAGCATCATCACACCTCATGCTGAGCCTAAAAGCATTGGGGGGAAGACGAAGCAGCACTCGGAGCACATACCCTGTTCTGCCGCATACATCGTCGTGCGCAGTGATGGCACCGTGACGGATACGTTCCAGCATACGGGCGAAGATTCAGTAGAGCAGTTCCTGACCTCCCTGGAACTGCAGGAAGTCTCCATTCGTGAAGACTTGGAGAATCGTCGCCCTATGAACCTGACGCCTGATGAGGAGGCTGGTTTTCTCAGCGCCAGGGATTGCTGGATATGTAAACGTCGTCTCGGAGGGGATCGTGTGCGTGACCACGATCACATGACGGGTGCGTTTCGCGGAGCAGCGCACAACTCCTGTAATCTTCAGCTGCGCATCGTACCCGGCAAGGTGAACATCCCGGTGGTGTTCCACAATCTCAAGGGGTACGACGCGCATCACATCGTCAGTCATCTCGGTAAAACGAAGATTGACGAAGTGACGTACCAAGATGCTGGAGACAAGGAGCACACGGAGCAGCGCGGCTCCATCAACATCGTTCCGTCCAACACGGAAAAGTACATCGCTATGATGTGGCGGCAGTTCGTGTTCATCGACTCGTACGCTTTTCTCAGCACTTCGCTGGATAAGCTTGCGAAGGCAACACCTGGAGAAGCGTTCGTCCGCATGCGGGATCTGCATGGGGGGGATCCCGAGAAGACGGATCTTCTGCTTCGGAAAGGTGTATACCCGTACGAGTACATGGACTCGTTCAGCCGCTTCGACGAGGAGAGTCTCCCCCCACGGGAGAAGTTCTACTCGTCGCTGTCCGAGGCACACATCACCGATGACGAGTACCGTCACGCGCAAACCGTCTGGAGCAGGTTTGATTGTGTCACTCTGCGTGATTATCACGGTCTTTACCTGAAGACGGACGTGTACTTGCTGGCGGATGTATTTGAGAACTTCCGCACCACCGCCATCGCCACGTACTCGCTAGATCCGGCCAACTACTACACGCTGCCCGGGTTTGCGTGGAGTGCGCTGCTCAAGGTGTCCGACGTCAGTCTGGACCTGCTGTCTGACGTGACGATGCACACCTTCATCGAGCACGGCATCCGCGGTGGAATCAGCATGAGTGTGCAGAGGTACGCCGAGGCTAACAACGATCTTATCCCAGACGGGTACGACCCCTCGAAGCCTATGACGTATCTGCAGTACGTCGATGCAAATAATCTGTACGGCTGGGCCATGCAGCAGCCCCTGCCCATCGGCGACTTCAAGTTCGTGGAGGACATCAGCGATGATCTCGTGGACGACATCGTCATGACGCACCCCCACGATTCGCCTGTGGGATATATCGTGGAGTGTGATCTCACGATTCCCGATGGTGTGCACGATGCGCTAAACGAGTATCCTCCTTGCCCCGAGAACATGTGCGTGACGGACGACATGCTGTCGCCGCATCAGCAGCAGCTGGCGCAACAGCTCGGCTTGGGCAAGCAGAAGGAGAAGAAGCTGATGCTCACTCTGCTGCCAAAAACCCGCTACGTGTGCCACTACGTAAATCTGCAGGCGTACGTGGCGCTTGGCGTGGAAGTGAGTGAAGTGCATCGCGTCCTCCAGTTCACGCAGCGTCCGTGGATGCGCTCGTACATCCAGCTGAACACCGATCTGCGTACGAATGCTGCATCGGAGTTTGAGAAAGATTTCTACAAACTCATGAACAATGCAGTGTTTGGCAAGACGATGGAGAACGTCCGGCGCCGCTTGAACCTGAAGCTTGTCCGCTCGGAAGAAGAGGTGGACAGGCTGCGGCGCGCCATCGTCAAGCCAACGTACAAGCGCAGTATCGTGTACGACAACGACCTGGTGGCGGTGGAGTTCTTCAAGTGTAAAGTTCACTTGAACAAACCTATCTACGTGGGTTTCTCCATCCTAGAGTTGTCGAAGGTGCTGATGTACAGCTTCTTCTACGACACTCTGAAGCCACGCTATGGTCAGAACGTACGGCTGTGTTACACGGACACCGACTCGTTCATCCTGCAGTACGCCACGGCCGACCTGTATGCGGACATGAGTGACATGATGGGTCAGTACGATACGTCCAACTATCCGACTGACCATCCTCTGCACTCCCTCGCAAACAAGAAAGTCGTCGGCAAGTTCAAGGATGAGCTGGGTGGACGCATCATGAGCGAGTTCGTGGGGCTTCGCTCAAAGATGTACGCGTACACCGGCGAAGAGTCAGCAAAGCGTGCGAAGGGCGTGAAGAAGTCCGTCGTGAACGATACTCTGCAGTTCTCGACGTACAAGAACTGCCTTCTACGCGATCAGCAGAGCATCGAGAGAGAGATGAATGTGCTGCGCAGCCGGAATCACCACATCTATGGTGAGACCATCCGCAAAGTGGCGCTATCACCGTTCGATAGCAAGAGGTACATCCTCGACGACGGTGTGAGCACACTTGCGTATGGCCATTATAAGATACCGGCATAACACATCTTAGCGTAGCGACCGACCATTCGCTCACTTCATGAAATACATAGTGTTCTCATAATATTTGATTCTCACAATATTTTATTCTTACGCAATCGATTAACTTCCGATTTTCTTAGCCATTCATCCACCTTGGCCGGATAGCCTTTGAAAGATACTAGAGATGTATTGCGCTTCGTTTTTATCACTTTGTTCAGTCTCAGTCCGGTTTCTTTAGCTCGTTGCAATTCATTTTCATAGAAACCGCCTGTAAGTTCCTCACCTTTTAGATCTTCCAACTGATACGTAACCGGATCTGTGAATAGAACCTTCCTGATCTGAAACACTTACTCACTCCAAAAATTGCATGCAACCTTAACCCTGTTGACGAGCATAATGATGCATGACGAAAGCAAGCAGAGTCTTTTTATACCGACTCCTACGGCCAATGAACACTCGTCGGCTCTGCATTATAGACGGATGCAGACGGTGCATCGACGCCATTTCTCGAACATCATGGACCTGTGCGATCAATTCGATGCGCTCATCAATTACGTTCGACAGCCAAAGGGCTCTCCGGCACGTGATGATGGTTGCAATCACGTGACCGAGGCAGTGATAGATGGACACTACGTGTGCACGTCGTGTGCGCACGTGATCGATCAGCACGTCTACGCACCGGAGCATGATTTTCAAAAGCGGTGCATGCCAGAAAAAAGATGCTATCAATCTCGACAGCGCCTTCTAGGCGTCGACAGGCATCTGATTAGTTTTCTGAAGAAAACAAACATTGGTGACTTTCTCTCAGCTCACTTCAACCTTCATCCCCTGCAAGAAACGTTACATTCTCTGAAGAAATCCTGTTTGTACAAAAGTCTCAATTATGCTATTGCACTATCGTGTTTCCTATTCGATTGCAATTATATCGTTCAGAAGCGTTTACGCGCCTTCCTTCCACGCAGCAACGTTTCCTGGCTACGGTTTGCGCGAATGTTCAAACCCTTGCCGGTGAGATTTTCTCTCCTTTGGTGTCTTCATTTCATGGAGAGCTCGCGCCAGCTCACACCGCAACACGCGACGACCGCTCGTAGAAATCTACAAAACCTGAGCGACGGTGATGCTAAAATTCTAATGTCTATCGTCGGTGCCTATTGCTGGGAGACGTACCCTCTATCCCATCTGATCGACAACTTTCACTCACAGCATCAAGACTTGCAGTGTATCCTATACGACTATGCGAAAATCGCATGCGATCGACAGCCATCGGCACGACAGAGGCGCGTTCGAGCGTGCCGGAGGCACGTCCGGGCAGCCGGGAGCCAGGCAGCCAGCAGCCGGACAGCCAGGCAGCCGGGGGGAGGGGGGGGGGCAGCAGCCGGGCAGCCCAGCCAGAATGGGGCCAGAATGTGCTTTAGAACGAGAAGTCGTTTCTTCTTCGGTATTCTGAACAACCCCTTTTTATTTATAGCTCTTATAGTGCTCGGTAACCCCGATGAAAATTGTAAGAGTAAGTGGCCCATGACTCGCACCGAGCGTACTCAAAATGTATATGAGGTTTATTTTATTATTTTTATTATAATTTTTTTTTTTTTGAATTGGCCAAAATTTGCGCTAGATTTTGGGGTGGTTTTCAGGCTAAATTTTAGGCTAAGTTTTAGGCCAAAAGTAAAGGAGTTTACAAAATAGACCGACTCATTCGAAATTAACTTTATTGTTTTCTACATCACAATAAGTTGAGTAGGTGTTCTTAGAACAATCTATGGCAAGAATTGGCCTCTGACACATAGTCAACAGTTTTTCATAAAGTTTGAAAGTCAGCGCAGATTTTAGGGTTAGGGTTAGGGTTAGGTTTAGGGTTAGGGTTTGGTTTAGGGTTTTGTTTAGGTTTAGGGTTAGGTTTAGGGTTTGGTTTAGGGTTAGGGTTAGGGTCCTGGCCGCCCGGGCGTGCCTCTGGCACGCGCTGCCCGGCTGCCGGGCAGCCGGGCAGCTGGGCAGAACACCTACTCAACTTATTGTGATGTAGAAAACAATAAAGTTAATTTCGAATGAGTCGGTCTATTTTGTAAACTCCTTTACTTTTGGCCTAAAACTTAGCCTAAAATTTAGCCTGAAAACCACCCCAAAATCTAGCGCAATTTTTTTGCCAATTCAAAAAAAAAAAATTATAATAAAAATAATAAAATAAACCTCATATACATTTTGAGTACGCTCGGTGCGAGTCATGGGCCACTTACTCTTACAATTTTCATCGGGGTTACCCAGCACTATAAGAGCTATAAATAAAAAGGGGTTGTTCAGAATACCGAAGAAGAAACGACTTCTCGTTCTAAAGCACATTCTGGCCCCATTCTGGCTGGGCTGCCCGGCTGCTGCCCCCCCCCCCCCTCCCCCCGGCTGCCTGGCTGTCCGGCTGCTGGCTGCCTGGCTCCCGGCTGCCCGGACGTGCCTCCGGCACGCTCGAACGCGCCTCTGTCGTGCCGATGGCTGTCGATCGCATGCGATTTTCGCATAGTCGTATAGGATACACTGCAAGTCTTGATGCTGTGAGTGAAAGTTGTCGATCAGATGGGATAGAGGGTACGTCTCCCAGCAATAGGCACCGACGATAGACATTAGAATTTTAGCATCACCGTCGCTCAGGTTTTGTAGATTTCTACGAGCGGTCGTCGCGTGTTGCGGTGTGAGCTGGCGCGAGCTCTCCATGAAATGAAGACACCAAAGGAGAGAAAATCTCACCGGCAAGGGTTTGAACATTCGCGCAAACCGTAGCCAGGAAACGTTGCTGCGTGGAAGGAAGGCGCGTAAACGCTTCTGAACGATATAATTGCAATCGAATAGGAGACACGATAGTGCAATAGCATAATTGAGACTTTTGTACAAACAGGATTTCTTCAGAGAATGTAACGTTTCTTGCAGGGGATGAAGGTTGAAGTGAGCTGAGAGAAAGTCACCAATGTTTGTTTTCTTCAGAAAACTAATCAGATGCCTGTCGACGCCTAGAAGGCGCTGTCGAGATTGATAGCATCTTTTTTCTGGCATGCACCGCTTTTGAAAATCATGCTCCGGTGCGTAGACGTGCTGATCGATCACGTGCGCACACGACGTGCACACGTAGTGTCCATCTATCACTGCCTCGGTCACGTGATTGCAACCATCATCACGTGCCGGAGAGCCCTTTGGCTGTCGAACGTAATTGATGAGCGCATCGAATTGATCGCACAGGTCCATGATGTTCGAGAAATGGCGTCGAAGCACCGTCTGCATCCGTCTATAATGCAGAGCCGACGAGTGTTCATTGGCCGTAGGAGTCGGTATAAAAAGACTCTGCTTGCTTTCGTCATGCATCATTATGCTCGTCAACAGGGTTAAGGTTGCATGCAATTTTTGGAGTGAGTAAGTGTTTCAGATCAGGAAGGTTCTATTCACAGATCCGGTTACGTATCAGTTGGAAGATCTAAAAGGTGAGGAACTTACAGGCGGTTTCTATGAAAATGAATTGCAACGAGCTAAAGAAACCGGACTGAGACTGAACAAAGTGATAAAAACGAAGCGCAATACATCTCTAGTATCTTTCAAAGGCTATCCGGCCAAGGTGGATGAATGGCTAAGAAAATCGGAAGTTAATCGATTGCGTAAGAATAAAATATTGTGAGAATCAAATATTATGAGAACACTATGTATTTCATGAAGTGAGCGAATGGTCGGTCGCTACGCTAAGATGTGTTATGCCGGTATCTTATAATGGCCATACGCAAGTGTGCTCACACCGTCGTCGAGGATGTACCTCTTGCTATCGAACGGTGATAGCGCCACTTTGCGGATGGTCTCACCATAGATGTGGTGATTCCGGCTGCGCAGCACATTCATCTCTCTCTCGATGCTCTGCTGATCGCGTAGAAGGCAGTTCTTGTACGTCGAGAACTGCAGAGTATCGTTCACGACGGACTTCTTCACGCCCTTCGCACGCTTTGCTGACTCTTCGCCGGTGTACGCGTACATCTTTGAGCGAAGCCCCACGAACTCGCTCATGATGCGTCCACCCAGCTCATCCTTGAACTTGCCGACGACTTTCTTGTTTGCGAGGGAGTGCAGAGGATGGTCAGTCGGATAGTTGGACGTATCGTACTGACCCATCATGTCACTCATGTCCGCATACAGGTCGGCCGTGGCGTACTGCAGGATGAACGAGTCGGTGTCCGTGTAACACAGCCGTACGTTCTGACCATAGCGTGGCTTCAGAGTGTCGTAGAAGAAGCTGTACATCAGCACCTTCGACAACTCTAGGATGGAGAAACCCACGTAGATAGGTTTGTTCAAGTGAACTTTACACTTGAAGAACTCCACCGCCACCAGGTCGTTGTCGTACACGATACTGCGCTTGTACGTTGGCTTGACGATGGCGCGCCGCAGCCTGTCCACCTCTTCTTCCGAGCGGACAAGCTTCAGGTTCAAGCGGCGCCGGACGTTCTCCATCGTCTTGCCAAACACTGCATTGTTCATGAGTTTGTAGAAATCTTTCTCAAACTCCGATGCAGCATTCGTACGCAGATCGGTGTTCAGCTGGATGTACGAGCGCATCCACGGACGCTGCGTGAACTGGAGGACGCGATGCACTTCACTCACTTCCACGCCAAGCGCCACGTACGCCTGCAGATTTACGTAGTGGCACACGTAGCGGGTTTTTGGCAGCAGAGTGAGCATCAGCTTCTTCTCCTTCTGCTTGCCCAAGCCGAGCTGTTGCGCCAGCTGCTGCTGATGCGGCGACAGCATGTCGTCCGTCACGCACATGTTCTTGGGGCAAGGAGGATACTCGTTTAGCGCATCGTGCACACCATCGGGAATCGTGAGATCACACTCCACGATATATCCCACAGGCGAATCGTGGGGGTGCGTCATGACGATGTCGTCCACGAGATCATCGCTGATGTCCTCCACGAACTTGAAGTCGCCGATGGGCAGGGGCTGCTGCATGGCCCAGCCGTACAGATTATTTGCATCGACGTACTGCAGATACGTCATAG